ACGATGTCTGAAATGAGACTCTATGTTGCTTACCAAATAAACAATAGTCACAAGATTTTACCGTTGCACCTTTGGCATAAGAAATTAGTGATTTCTTGGCAAGAATCTGCAATCCCTTTTCGCTCATATGACCCATTCTTTTGTGCCATAAATCTGCAGAAATCTCATCTTGTGCCGCGTTCAATTCACCTTGGCATATTTCTGCATTTGTCCTGTACAACGTGCCACGAGCAACTCCCTTTGCAATCACCAATGATCCCTTAGTGAGTCTCCACTTTTGATTTGCAAAATAACTCTCGTATCCATCTCGGTCTAAAGCAATTCCCGAGATCAAGTTCATCCGCAAATCAGGTACATGCTGCACATCCTTTAGAACCAATGTGCATCCGACATTTGTCTTGATACAAATGTTACCAATCCCCGCAATCTTTGAGTAACTTGTGTTACCCATTCTCACTGTGCCGAAATTACCTGCTACATATCTGCAAAAAAGATCTCTTACCGGTGTGGCATGATAAGATGCCACTGTGTCAACCACCCATTCCGACTCTGGACCTAACAGGTTCATGCATTCCTCTTCCTCATTTATAAAGAGGACACCATTATCATTGTTTTGCACCATAGCGGCTGTGTCGTTGTCATTCTTTTGGCCACTGGTTTCACCTTTGCCCTTCCTTGGATTTGGGCAATCTCTTTTGAAGTGACCTGGTTGATCACAGTTGTAGCAATTTTTGGCTCTTGATTTGGATCGGTTCTTTGATTTTCCACGAGCTCCGGATTTACCATAGTTGCTCGAACTCCTTTGATAACTCCTGCCTCTACCTTCTGTGATGAGAGCCTGCCCTTGATTTTTAGGCTTCTTTCTTATCTTCTCATTGAGTAGAAGAGCCGATGTGACATCTTTCAACTCAATAGTAGTCTTACCGTGCAGGATGGTTGTTGCCAAATTATCGTACGAAGATGGCAACGAGTTCAATAGCAAGATGGCTTTATCTTCTTCCTCGATTTTCACTCCGAGGTTGGCAAGCTGTGTGATTAGTCCGTTAAACACATTTAAATGTGACAAAAAATTCGTACTTTCACCCATGTGTAGGGCGTATAACTGCTTCTTCGGGTACAATTTATTTGTCAATGTTTTGGACATGTATAAGCTTTCCAACCTTGTCTAAATTCCACGTGTAGTGTCTTTATCAATGATGTTATTTACCACATCATCTGATAAGTGCAACCTAATTACACTAGCAGCTCTTTCATCCAAGTCAACCCAATCCTCAGCTTTCATGGTATCAGGCTTTTTGGAATCAACATCTAGAACCTTGTGTAATCCTTGTTGGATGAGCAGATCCCTCATCCTTCTTGCCATGTTGAGAAACCGTTATCTCCGTTGAATTTTGCTACCTCGTACTTTACTCCGGGCATTTTTATTTTTCACCGAGTATAGTACTACCGACAGTGAATAGTATTTCTGTGAACAAGCAGAACCTGTGCTCTGATACCAGTTGTAGGGAATAAACCCCCACAGAAATAATATTCACGGTAATAAAAGCGGAATAATAATGTAGCACCGAGATACAATAATTAACAAGAATAAAAGAGTAAAATCGATACCAAGATTTTTACGGGGAAAAACCCTTTTAATAAGGGAAAAAATCACGGCCCCGAGAGGAGCAACTGATATCACTATAGTAAGGAATTTTACACTTTGTAGGTCCGACTAAAATACTCCAAAGACTACTACAACACTCAAAAGAAATAACCCTCTTTTGATATTCTCACCTCACTACAATATCACTCACTCTCTATTTTTCTCACAGACTATTTTCTTATACCCTGTCTGTGAAACCTCACTTTTTCTTTCTCTCTTTGTTGGTATATAAAATGAGAGCCGAAGCTCTCCTTTTATAGGCGGAACCTTACTCTCTCACGCCTACTGTTTTTGATATTTTTCTCTTCTGCAGATTTGGTATGCCTATCAATCTTGACTTTTGAAATCTTATAGATTTCACTTGACCAAAATCAGATTTGGTATCATTATTGCTTTTCCTTTTTTCCTTTATATATTATTTAATAGGGATGGACCCCACATTTTCATCGTCGTAAATGTCACTAATTTTGGGATGATGATATAGTAGCGAAACCCCTCGTAGTTTTTTCTCGTTTTTGAGATGTTCGATCCAATGTTGAATGTTATTATTTGATGTATTATTCCAATCTTCTGGGACGTGATGCATGTGAAAAAACTCGACACTATTACGAATTTGTGACGAGAGAATTTTGTCCACAACGGACGATGATATTGATTGTACTTGATTTTGTGAAGAGATCTCATCCATATCAGACAATGATATTGATTGTACTTGATCGAAAGAAAGACGAGATAAGAACTTCTATAGGAATTTCCAACGTTTTGAAAATATGCTTGTTTGCTAGGGCTTCTTTTGTAGGAAGATATGAGATTATTGAACATAAGAGATGATCAGAAAGATTGCTAATTAAGTCAATTTCTGACATTATTTCCAACGTTTGAGAGAAAGAATTGGCTGAAATATACATATACGCTATATTGAGTTTTAAAAGTAAATAGTATAAGAAGTATTTATAAATATAATTTGTACTGTCAAACGTAAATCCAAATATATTTGGTTTTGGTGTAGTCTTTTTGTTTCCGTCTGGGAAACTGCTTTCTTGTGTTTAGGAAGACCTAAATTAAGTTTAATTCTCTAATTATTCACTTTCTATAGTTATATATATTTATGTACGTGAATTAGGAGTTACTTTTTGAATCTTTTAGTAAAAGAAAAAGTGGTAATTCAAGAAAAAAAAATATTCCAGCATATGGAATCATTTTTACATTATTGAAAAAGGAGAAAAAAAAAGTAGTGAAATAGTTTATCGATATATGTACGAAGATTTCTTTAAACGTTATTTTTAATTTGAAGAAAAGCGATCCAACCTATTAAGACTAGTGTTTTAAAAAGCGGGGGCGTGAGTCGGGGTGCTTTACCTACTATGAGGCAATGCGCAAGCCCCGAAACATGAGGCGTAAGCCCCATAAATCTTTAAATTTTTTATTTTTTTTTTTTATTTTTTTTTGGTTTTTAGGATGAAAAGTATTCCTTTTGGGAATGGCAATACGAAGAGCTTCCTCCTAGAGTTTCAAATTTCATATGCACTTTAAAGAAGGAAAAGGAAGCTCTATTCCGTGAAAGAAATGCTCTCCAAAAGAAAGTTGTCAATCTTGAGAATGTTATGATGCTCGTCGATCATGGAGGAATAGAAGTCTTGAAATTGTAAAGAAATGTTCTAATGAAGAAAGTGACTGATTTAGAGTACTTAGTTGTGCTTGATGCTAAATTTTGAAGAAGATGTATATTTTCATGTGTGTGATATTGGGATATTTTGTTCTGTTCGGTCAATAATATGTAATGTTAGTGTTATTGTGACTTAATTGTTGTCTTTTGTTATGTAATGAAGTATTATGTTTTTGTACAAGGATTTAATGAAGTCATTGCCGTTCATTTGAATGTTTGTATCTATTACTGAGTTTATTTGCTGTGATAATTAGTTTGGTGTTGTCAAATATGTGTCTAAGTAAAATGATATAAAGTTGTGGAAGTGTTTGAGAAATGACTATTATAACTAACTCATATATGCCCCTGTACAATTCCAACTGGGTCTAACTTTCTTTTTTAATCAGGTTTTGGATTTTTAAAATGCAAAAATATAATTCACGTGGCTTTATGAGTCTCCCGTTGGTGATGGAAGGCATATACGAGCCTATTTTGTTGACGGCAAAGGCAGATTAAAGACCAACTTTTAACGGAAGGCTAGCCTGTCCTATTTCATATAGTAAACGGGCATTTTAGGCCCTTTTCCGTTTTAACTTTTAAGATTAAATTGTTTAATTTAACGTATGAGTAAATATTTACATCAGAGCTTAGGATTTCTTTAACAACTGTCGGTATATATTAAAATTGTTGCTATTGCACATATTCTACGGTTTTTGGCTTGGACAATAAAACAATGTTTTTAGTTCGTTTTGTCTCTTACAGACCCTTTATCCACAGATTAATCTTTCAATCTCCACTCTGTTTTTCTCCTTCACGTCGGGGGCGGCCCGACGAATTTTGTGGCCTAAAGCCAAATTTTATAAGGGGCCTTAACTTTCTTTTTAAAAACAAAATATTATTTTTTATTTAAAGTATATTTTTGGATTTTTTTATAGATGCAAAGTTATTAATAATTTTCTTATAATCAATTGCTCCTAATAAGTCTTTCTCAATTGACAATATAACTAATCTATTTAACCTTTCATAAAACATTGTTGATCTTAGGTAATATTTTATCAATTTTAATTTTGAAAAACTTCTTCTTTCCGCTGAAGCAACGGTAACATGAGTTATTAACATTATTCTATAAGCAATATAGACATTTTGAAAAGAATCAAATCTTCTTATTTGATTGAGTATATCAAATAAACTATTATCTTTTAATTGTACTATTTTCCTTAACACTTTTAATTCAGAAAATAAATCTAAATCATCAATATCGGATTGATTATTATGCTATAAAGAACATTCAAGATTAAGGCAATGCTTTTTCAATTTTCCATCATCTAGTGATCTCATTTTTTACTGCTAAATAGAGAACCAAAAATATTTTCATATGCTTCGAATTGGTCAAATCTATTATGAAGTGAAAAAATAGCCTTTTCTACTATGTATAAAAGCAATCAACTCCAAAAGACTCTTCGAGAGATTTTGAGATTTTATTTTCAACATTTTCATCAAATTGTTTCTTTCTATATATCACACGTTTCTTACGAAGTTTGGGTTCCATATTCATTTCAAATGTAATTTTTTTCCTTGGCAGAAATTATAACAATTGCAAATCCTTCTTCTCTATATTTATTAAAGCAAGAAATCAAATATTTTCACTTCATATAACTTTTTTTAAAAATTTATATATAACCTATTAGGTATAAAAAAAATAGGGCCCCCATGAATTTGAGACCTAAAACAATTGCGTTACCTGCTTTAGGGGAGGCCGCCCCTGCTTCACGTCCATTTTCATCATCTCAAATACAAAAATCTGATGACATCAACCTTGTCAACTACAAAGATTGGTTAAGCCCAAATGAGGTCATCAAAATTTTCCGAAATCTCAATGACCCAAATTCAGCTCTAAATTTACTTAATCAAATCTCAAAACGTAAAGATTACAAACCCAATGAAGCCATTTATAGTGTAGTTGTCAAAAACCTAGCAATGGCTAAGAATTTTGATGCAATTGAGACCCTTATGGAAAAGATCAAATTTGAAAGAAAGTGTAGACTTTCTGATGAGTTTTTCCATAATGTTATTAAGATTTTTGGGCGTTTAGCTGGTAGAATAAATAAAGCAATTGAGACCCTTTTTGATATGCCTAATTATAAGTGCTGGCCGAGTGTGAGAACTTTCAATTTTGTCCTGAATTTGTTAGTGAATACTAAACAATTTGATGTTGTTCACAAGGTGTATATTCGTGCTTCTGATTTGGGTGTTGAGATTGATGCTTGTTGTTTGAATATTATCATTAAAGGACTATGTCGTTGTGGGGAGCTCGATGCAAAGGTGTTCGATGAATTTCCTAAGCAAAATTGTCATCCATTTTGATGACAAGTCCCGTTACATGCTGTTAGAAGTATAACATTGGTTGCATGATGGGAATTTAGTCTTCTTATATAGCTTTTGGCAATCCTTATCTCATGAGTTAGTTTTTGGGGTTGAATTAGAATTTATATCTATTTCTTTACATGGTATCAAACCCACGCGCTAGTTGGCAGGGTCTGGGCATGCCGCAAAGGGGTTGGGGGTGGGGGTGGTATTAGAATTCACACATTAGTTGTGAGATAGGAATTTGGTCGCAAATGGGGGTGGGGGTGCCACCAAAACATAAAGGTATGTTTTACAGAGTGGTGGTCAGGCCAACGATGTTGTATATATGAGGCTGAGTGTTGGCCAGTCAAGATCGCTCATGTCCAGAAGATGAAGGTAGTAGAGATGAGGATGTTGAGATGCATATGCGGGTACACCAAGTTAGATAGGATCATAAATAAGGTTATTCACGACAAGGTTGTTGTGGCCCCTATTGAGGACAAGATGCGGGAAGCACGGCTTAGGTGGTTTGGTCATGTGAGGAGGAGGATCACAGATGCCCCGATGAGGAGGTGTGAGAGGGTGACATTAGAGGGCATACGAAGAGGTAGAAGTAGGCCAAAGAGGAGGTGGGGAGAGGTGATTAGGCAAGACATGACGCAACTTCAGCTGACCGAAGACATGACCCTTGATATGAAGGTATGGTGGTCGAGGATTAGGGTAGTAGAGTAGGTAGTCTAGAGTGTTCATAACAGTAGTATTGGCACGCATTCTCGCTTTCTGTTGGTAATAGGTTTTTATGACTAACCGTTATTTTCTTTCATTGTTGATCACCTTACTATCTTGTTGTTTTTATTCTGCTTTTATATGGCTTTTGGTACTGTCCCTTCTTGTCTATATTTTCATTAATGTGGTGCTCATGCTTTCTTGAGCCAAGGGTTTATTGGAAACAACCTCTCTATCCTCACAAGGTAGGGGTAAGGTCTGCGTACACACTACCCTTCCCTGATCCCAGGGTATGAGATGATACAGTCAGACCTCTTTATAATAGCATCCTTATATAACAACACTTCACTATAAAAGCCAAGCTTTTTCGGAATAAAATGTCATGTTTTGTTATAATATATATTCTCTATAACAACAATTCGCTATAACATCTAAAAATATCCATAACAAACGATGTTGTTATAGAAAGGTTTGACTGTACTGGGTACGTTGTTGTTGTTGTATAGGAATTTGGTCTCCTTATGTTTGTTTTGGGCATCCTTTACCTCATGAAATAGTTTTTGGGATTGATAGATCCAATATCCATTACTTATCATTCCTACAGCATCTGAATTCAAAATTTTCATTCCAAGTGAAAGGACAAGATGACGCACTACCACCATGGACGTCGTTTAGCACCACCACCATAATCACCACTATCACCACCATAAGCTGCCTTCTGGACAGGAGCGGATTTAGGGGGCGCAAGGGTGTTCACCCGAACACCCTTCGCCGAAAACTTACACTGTATATATAAGACAAAATTTGGTTTTTTATCTCTATATATTAAGTTTTGAACACTCTTAATAGAATCCAAAAGTGTAGTTTAGTGGTCAAGGGGATTCAAAATCTATATAAGGTCATGAGTTCAATTCCTAGTAGTTACAAAATTATTTTTTTGAACCCCTCCGTGAAGATCCTGCCTCAGCTTGGCAATGCGAAACCTTTAGCTGAATATGAAGCAGTGCTAGTATTCCTCCAACTCATCGGCTCATTATTTAAAATAACAGTACAATATAGTTTATTGGTAACAACTATCTAAACAAGTTCTAAAGGATGAAGCTCTCCTTACTAGGGTTTTTTTCCATTCCTAGGTCTCGAATTCGAAATATCTGGTTAAGGTTGGAGCTAGGGATCTCTTTCATCGCACCACACTACCCGTTGTGTTCATTACTCCTCATGTTGAATTTGAGCGAACAGTCTCTTTTTTTAAAGTTTAAAATATTATGGAAGAGACTCTTTAATTTATTTATTCAATTCTTACATATTTCTGCATGAATCTTTAAGTTCCTTACATTCTGCATGAATCTTTAAATACATAAATTGATGGTGAGACTTGAAATCATCATCTCCAACTGCTTTGATCTGCTTCATCTAAAAACTTATTTTTTGGTTTCCAACCTAGTGTTTGGTACATACATTGGGCCCGACTAAATTCCGATTCGCGCCGGGAAGTCTCATATTGGGGGTAAAGCGCTCCCTAACAAAGGCAACGCGACTCTTTACCCAGGGACTCGAATCCAAGACCTCTGGTTAAGGATGAAAGAGTAGTTACCATTCCACCTAAAAACTTAAACTCTTGGAAAAGAGACACCTATATTCATTTGAGTATATATTAATTACACCGATCTCACAATGAACAATAGTAATACTGTTTGGAAGTCGAAACACTAAATCCTCTTACTATAATTTTTGAATTATTTTTTCATATGATTTATTTACAATTTTATTTATGTACTTTCTATTAATTTATGATTCCTATATTTTTTTTTCCAAAATTAAGAAATCATGCTAGAAGAAATAATTAGATGTAAGGGTGTACATAGACCGGATTGGTTCGGTTTATATCAAAACCAAACCAAACCAGCTATATCGGTTTGGATTGGTTCAGTTTTGTCGGGTTTTTCGGGTTTTTTGTTACTTACATTTTATTTCAATCTTACTTTGTTAAATATTTGATAAGTGAATATCTATTTAGTAAAAATATAAAAAATTGACAAACATATTATCGCTTAAAATATTCTTATGGGAGAATTCTATTAGTAACACATAATAATTATTTTTAGTCGTCTGACAATACTTTTTCGTTGATATACACTTTCAGGTTAACCGAATTTAATAATTAAACGTAAAAATCAATATGATACCTAAATATTAATAACCACTTCACATTCGAAAAGAAATAAGAATTTAATAGATCTTAACATATGAACTAAGTCTTATTATTTTTTCCTGGGCATTGATTTCTTCCTATATAGATGAATATGGAAGAACAAAGAGATAAATGCATTTCAGTAACACTTGATAAGAAAGTGATCATACAACCCATTATTTAAGGTCAATAAATATGGAGCACTTCATATTCTATTAAAATTTATATCCCGCATGAAAATCCCAAATATTTCTAGACATTTTTATAAAGAAAATTTTATATAAAATCTTAAAAGTATATATATAAAAATTATATATTTATATGTCGGGTTGGTTCGAATTTTTTTACTCAATACCAAATCAAACCAAACCAAACCAAGTCAGATTTTTTAATTGGTTTGGTTTGACTTTTCGATTTGGTGCGATTTTTCGAATTGGTTTGTACACCTCTAATTAGATGGATCCACCCTATACATACTCCGAAGATTATGCCTTTTGGGGATATATGAAGGTCACCTTAATTCAGATTCTTGTTGTAAATATTATTCTACTTATGTTTGACCTAATTATTATTGTAAGAAAATAAAGAATGTATGACACCTAACTTACATCCTGGAGTCAATATATTGTTCTTGTAGTATATGACGCGTTATTCATTATACCACGTAACTCAAACACATGTAGCGATAATATTCATTCACAGTAGCTGCACACAACACCCGAATACCGGTACCATTCTCTTTTAACTTGCGCTTAATCAAGAACATGCGGACACATCACCATTCTCTTTTAAGCGTCACGAATCTCTGAACACGTGCGTTGCACGTATATCTCATACTAATATGTATATACGTTTAAAACAATATAGATAATACTAAAGGATAATGAAAACTTAAACTGCTGAAAGAATAAACTTCATTTTCTGGTGATGAGTTAAAATATGAGAGAAAAAATATTTCGTTAGTAGTTGTCTTCTACTTCGATCACGATTATAGTTTGTATTTGTACATGGTCAACAAATTGAGTATTACATTTTCATACTTGGTTAAAATTCATTTTTAGATTTACCATCATGTCTAGCTGTATTTTACACTGTTATAATGTGGTTATGATAGAACTTAATGCAAGAGAGATGAACTGAAAATTTGGTTTTTCTTTTTTATTTGTCTAAATTATTTTTTTTGTGTAATCTTGTAAGCTCGATAATTTAGGTGGCATGACACCTGATTATTTTGATCATAACACGATAGTGAGTCATCCTTGCACATGTTCCAAGTTTGATAGCTCTTTAAATTAGAAAAAGGTGAGAAAGCATGCATGAAGACTTCGTGATGTAATAATGAATTTTAAAGTCCATTCATTACATATTTATTTGATAAAGCAAACATCTTAAGAAAGCCAAAGGTCTTATTAATTCATTGTTAAAACTTAGTCATTCGAGCAGGTTACATATTTATGGCCATGTGAATGGCTCTCACATTAATTGTACGTTTCTTTTTTGTTATGTTAATTATTTTTTTTTTTCATTTTATATTCTTTGTAGAATATAAATTTATATCTTTGCACCCAAATGTTCTTGAAATAATGCTTGCCTGAAGGGCGAAATAGTCATACAATCTTTTAAGGTTATTTTAGTCTTTTAACTTTTAACTTTCATCTTCCCACTTATAACATTATTATGATTATGATGATATGATACATACCTGAAATTATCACGTAGTTCAAATAAATAAGATAAATACTTTGGGAAGCCCGATTAGTTTATATTTATCATTCGTTATACTTTTTTGTGTTTAAATCCACCCTTACGGTTAATAAAGTGTGCAAATTTGCCCTCAGCTTAATTAAACGTCTTTCCACTATGGCACCAGACCCCCAATTAAGATAGCCAATCAACAACTATTTTTAAAATGTCTTTTATAATAAAATGCTGGTCTCCCCTCAATCATACATCAGTTTACTAATGACAGTACATTTGCATCCAATGAATTTGATACCATAAAGTCAACAGATACTTGTTGATTGTATGCTCAAACCATGCATAAAAATTGATCATTGCTTTGCCTCATCAATTCTTGGTTAATAGCTATGGGCAGAAGTTGCAATCTTGTGTTTGGTCTTGCTGTTTTCATTCTGCTTCATTACCATACATCATTGGCTATTGTTCCCAGTATTAGCACAGATAAAGATGCTCTTCTTGCCTTGAAATCTCACATTTCTTCTTCTGATCCTAATGATAAAATCATAGCAAGCAACTGGTCGTCCTCCAGCCCGGTTTGCAGCTGGATTGGCATCACTTGTAGCTCGCGCCACAATAGAGTCACAGCTTTAGACATTTCTAGCATGCAACTTTATGGTACCGTTCCTCCACACGTTGGAAACCTCTCATTTCTTGTTTCCCTTGACATCAGTAACAACAATTTTCATGGAAAGTTGCCAGAAGAGTTGTCTCATTTGCAGAGGTTGAAGTTTTTTATTGTCGAAAGCAATAACTTTACTGGTGTCATTCCATCATTCATAAGTCTGTTACCAAACCTTCGCATTCTGCGCCTTTCTAGCAACCAATTTCACGGGAAAATTCCACCTTCCCTTTCCAATCTAACAAAACTAGAAGGATTGAGCGTGGCGCACAATTTTCTTGAAGGAAAGATCCCTCAAGAACTCGGTGATCTTCGTTACATGACTATTCTAGACCTACAACAAAACCAGCTTACTGGCTCTATACCTCCATCAATCTTTAACATTACCACAATGCAGATCATTACTCTTTTCGAAAACAATGTTGCTGGTAATCTTCCAACAACTATATGTGAAAATCTTCCAAACTTGGAAGTTCTTCACATCCCAGAAAACAACCTAGACGGTGTTATTCCACCAAACCTAGGAAAGTGCAGAAAGCTTCAAATCTTGTCATTGTCTGACAATAAGTTCACTGGAACTGTACCAAAAGAGTTAGCCAACTTAAAAGATCTTACAGAATTAATTCTTGGATCTCAGCACTTGCAAGGTAGTGTAATAGTACTATTTTTTACAAGAAATCTAATTAAAATATTCGTCCTGCCGATTGGTACTCATATAGTGTTTTTCCATTTGACAGGAGAGATACCAGCGGAGCTAGGTAATCTTAAGAAACTTCGGTTGCTGGGATTAAACAAGAATGAGTTTACGGGTTCTATCCCTACAAACATTTTCAACATTTCAGCACTGGAGATCTTAGATCTTTCTGAAAACAGGCTTTCAGGTCGTCTACCATCCGATTTTGGCCGTGGAATTCCCAGCTTAGAAGGATTTTCTTGCAGATCGAATAATCTGAGTGGTTCTATCTCTGCTTCAATCTCAAATTCTTCAAGACTCAGAACACTTGATCTCTCGTACAACAGTTTCACAGGTTCCTAGTTTCTGCATCCGTTAACTAATTCAATGAACATCATAAAATTTACAACCATAAATTGACTTCATGAATGATTTACTAGTACTACTATCTTTTGTTTCTTTTCTCTTCCGACAAATTAGTACTCACATATTTACCCCACATGACAGGAGAGATACCGGCGGAGCTAGGTAATCTTAAGAATCTACAGTATCTGGATTTAACTGTAAACGAGTTTACTAGTTCTATCCCGACAAGCATTTTCAACATATCGACACTGATGGTCCTTGGACTTGGAGTAAATAGGCTTTCAGGTACTCTACCTTCAGATTTAGGCCGTAAAATGCCCAGCCTAGAAGATCTTCTTTGTGGTGATAATAATCTGAGTGGTTTTATCTCTGCTACTATCTCAAATTCTTCAAGACTCAGAAAACTTGATCTCACACTCAACAGATTCACAGGTCCAATTCCTGAATCTCTTGGTAACTTAGAATACCTTGAGGTTTTGGCCTTGGGGGCGAATAATTTTTCCAGCGATTCAACATTGAGCTTCCTAACACCTTTGACAAATTGTAGGAAACTGAGATCTCTCAGGTTCTCTGACAATCCGTTTGATGGTGTTTTACCTCCATCAGTTGGGAATTTCTCTAACTCTCTGCAGATTCTTGATGGACAAGGTTGTAAACTGAAGGGCTTCATTCCTGAAGAAATTGGTAATGTTACTGGAATGACAAGGATGAGTCTATTTAACAATGAGTTGAGTGGATATATTCCAAAAACCATCGAACGCATGCTGAAACTTCAAGAAATTTACCTACATAAAAACAAGATTGGAGGAACCATACCAGATGTTATCTGCAATTTACAGAATCTTGGTGAATTAGACCTATCGGGAAATCAGATTACCGGTTCAGTGCCACCATGCTTAGGGACCATTACCAGCTTAAGGAAACTTAATCTGGCTTACAACAGGCTGAATTCGAGATTACCTGCAAGCTTGGGAAGCCTTCGAGATATCATAGAATTCAATGTTTCGTCCAATTTATTAAGTGGGCAAATTCCTCTGGAGATTGGAAATTTAAAGGCTGCCACACTCATTGAACTGTCAAAAAATAATTTCTCAGGTAATATCCCAAGCTCTATAGGAGGTCTAGATAGATTGACCAATTTTTCTTTAGCACACAATAAATTAGATGGTCCTATTCCAGATTCATTAGGGAAAATTCTTGCCTTGGAATTCTTGGATTTGTCCTTTAACAATCTTAGTGGTGAGATTCCAAAGTCATTAGAAGATCTTGTGTATATTAAACAACTGAACATCTCATTCAATAAACTTAGTGGTGAAATTCCCACCGGTGGACCTTTTGCAAATATCACGAGCCAATCCTTCCTGTCCAATGATGCACTCTGTGGTGACTCCCGATTTAACGTGAAACCATGTCCTCCAAAATATACAAAGAAGTCAAGAAGAAAAAGAGTGCTTATAGGTTTATATACTTTGTTAGGGATAGGATCACTCTTTGCGTTGATCGTTGGATGTGCGGTGTTAAGATGGAGAAAGATGAAAAAGAATGTAGATCAAGCTGATTTGTCGCTCGTTAAAGAGCATGAAAGAATTTCTTATTATGAACTTGAACAAGCAACAGAAGGATTCAGTGAAAGCAACTTGCTTGGTAATGGGAGTTTCAGCAAGGTCTACAAAGGGATACTTAAGGATGGTACCATTTTCGCAGCAAAGGTATTCAATGTACAGTTGGAGGGTGCATTCAAAAGTTTTGATACAGAATGTGAGATGTTGCGCAACCTCCGCCATCGAAATCTTACTAAAGTCATCACTAGTTGCTCCAACCTTGATTTCAAAGCCTTAGTATTGGAATACATGCCGAATGGAACACTTGAAAAATGGTTATATTCTCATAACTTTTTCTTAGACATGATGCATAGATTAGATATAATGATAGATATTGCATCTGCGATGGACTATCTCCACAATGGTTATTCAACGCCTGTGGTGCATTGCGACTTAAAACCAAGCAATGTCTTGCTAGATCAAGAAATGGTTGGCCATGTCAGTGATTTTGGCATCGCAAAATTGTTGGATGCAGGGGAGGATTTTGTTCAAACACGTACAATTGCAACCCTAGGATATATCGCTCCAGGTATCAGAACTTTTTACTTATATCTTTAAAATAACCTAAATAGTGCATAGCATATTCCTTGATCATTTTTTACCATGCATGATTGTAGAGTATGGACAAGATGGTATAGTATCCACGAGCTGCGATGTTTATAGTTTTGGCATCCTGATGATGGAGACGTTTACAAGAATGAGACCAAGTGATGATATATTTACCGGAGAATTGAGCATAAGAAGTTGGGTTAGCGATTCTTTTCCAGGTGCAATTCATAAGGTGGTGGATGCTAATTTGGTACATCCAGGGGATGAACAAAGCGATGCAAAGATGCAGTGTCTGCTATCTATCATGGAATTAGCTTTGAGTTGCACTGTGATGATATCTGATGCAAGAATTAGTATGGAAGAGGCTCTTTCAACACTTACAAAGATTAGGCTCCACTTTGTCAGTAGTTGCTGCTAGNCACTTTGCCAGTAGTTGCTGCTAGGTGGAATCAGCGATCGCTGTGTTGATGGTTGTGTTGAGCTTTCAATTATGCGCTAGGACTTAATTAGTTCATCATAGCAGTGTGCGTAATGATCTGGTATGCAAGGCGAATTTTTTCATAGTGCCGAGCCTTATTTACTGGTTATTGTTTTTGTTTTTCATCTATTTTCTGGTTCTTATAATGATGTTATTATTTCTATGATTTCTGTTGATTGTACTGATATAACTCCTTGAGCCGAAAGTCTATCGGAAACAGCCTCTCTACTCTCTCTGGGGTAGGGGTAAGGTGTACATACACACTATCCTCTTAAACTCCACTTGTAAGATTTTACTGGATTGTTGTTGTTGTTGATTTGTTTTGGCAAGGCTCATACTCTTGTGGTTACATCTTTAATATTCTAAAACTCTTCTAGTAAGCATTAGTTTCTAGTTGGTGTTAGATTTTCAACCTTTATTATTGGTTTCTATCTTTTGCTAGATATGCTTGGATGGGGAGATATTTAAATCTTTTGTAATGTTTTATTTCTTGATTTTAGGTCTATCTATTTCTAATATTTTGTAATTAAGCCAAATTCCAAGTCATCTATGCTATTATGTAGAAGTGTCAATGCTTACTTCATTTTGGTAATACCAATATTAGACTTTTTAAAACCATCCTAATCATCTCAATTTCTTTTGGATATCGGTACGGTTCGGTTAATTTTCAACATAACTGATTAAGATGATTTCTTGCCTCCATTAAATGGTGTCAATTTCTCACAAAGTTTAATTCTGAAATTGATTGTGCAATTCTTTCAACCTAACTATTTGAGTAACACTTCTTAATGTAATGTTGTTGACTTTTACTATTACTAAAATTACAATGCAAACAGGATTTTCATAGAAGAAAATGACAATGAAAGTGTCAATATCCAACTTTAAAATTGATAATAAATATTAATCTCCAGGCATATTCAAAACTATAGATACATTAATAGAGGCTTTGGACACAGATTGTAATCCCTGAGTAGCAGCTGCTCCTTGTGTTGAACAACCATTACTGCACTGAATCACTAGCTTCTCCAACATACAAGCATTCTTTATCATATGAGTTACAAGTCTGATTTCATGCTCTTTTCCAGTAAACCCTCTAATCCGCACCCGTCTCAGATGATGAGTGAAACAATATGGAAACTCTTTAGTTTCCCAAAACATATCCTCTTGAGGTAGAACGGCTTTAGAACCTCGAGTCTTGTCAACCTGCATCATTGTGGGTGGGGTGGGGGTGGGGGAATATAAGTTTCACAAGTATTAAAAAGGGCAGCCCAGTGCACTAAGCTCCAGCTATGCGCGGGTTCCGGGGAAGGGCCGGACCACAAGGGTCTATCGTACGCAGCCTTACCCTGCATTTCTGCAATAGACTGTCTTCACGGCTCGAACCCGTGACCTCCTGCTCACATGGCAGCAACTTTACAAGTTACGCCAAGGCTCCCCTCCTAGTTTCACAAGTATTCTCAAATAAAATCCAGAATCTCTCCTTAAGCCGAGGGTCTATCAGACACAACATTTCTACCTTCATGAGGTAGTGGTAAGGTTTGCATATACACTACCCTCCTCAGACCCCACTTTGTGGGATTACACTTAGTTTGCTGATGTTGTTATTATTGTAGAAAATCCAGAATTTCTCCTTGAGCCGAAGGTCTATCGGAAACGGCCTTTCTACCTTCATAAGGTAGGGGTAAGATCTGAATACACACTAGTCTCCTCAGACCCTACTTTGTGGAATTACACTGGATTTGCTATTGTTGTTATTATTGTAGAAAATCCAGAATCTAAAGTGGATTCACAACTAGTGTGATCTTAATAATTGTATATCTATACCAATTATATGTGTCATATATACATCATTCAAGTCAAAACTAATAGTAGTAGGTTTTATTGAACCAACAGAACCCGCCATATCCGTCTACATTAGTCTATAATATATTATCAAGTTCTTGGAAATAAATATACTAACCTGATTAGTGATATCAAGCGTTTGAAGATGGCTCCACACCCTGAAGATGTAGTTAAGCACAATATTGTCATTCATGTTGTTCAAGTCTAAGCTGGTGCATA